GCCGCTCGTGGAGGTCTGAAGAATGATTGAGTGAGTTTTTTAGCGCAGCGAGGCAAAATTTTTTTTGCGTTAAAATGTTCGCAGGGGGAAAATTTAACGTTATGCGTGCCGTGTTAGGCAGGGTCCACTGAAAAATTTTTATATCTTCTTTTTTATATGTTTCCCAAACGTTGTATCTGGGGCCTCTGCAAAAACAGTTTTTTGTGTAGGTGGGTGAAAGTGTTGAATGATGATAAAGTATTTTTTTTTGGGGGATTTTTTCTTTTTTTTTGGGGGCACCCCTGCCCCGATGGGGGACGGCCAAATTGTTGAAAAAAAAAAATGTTAGTATTAAAAGAATACCCGTTTTAAGAATCAAAATATAAAAATATAAACATACAAGTGCCATCGTAAACTTTTTACATATTTTTTTTTTTCAACAAGTCGGGCCCTCTCCCACCGAGGCAGGGTGCCCAAAAAAGAAAGAAAATTCCCAAAAAAAAAAGCTTTCACAATTTAACACTTTTTACCACACTCCACATAAAACACTGTTTTTTTTCAGAGGTGCCAGAAAACAAAAAGCTTAGAACATTTTACGTTAAAGATACAAACATATCCCCCCAAACTTTTCCAATATCCAAAAATCCTCCTTTAAAGGCAGGGCATTGTTTTTTCCCCTTTTCCCGGACTCAAGTCCGACTATAGAAAAAAACCCGGGTTTCCCTGAATCCCTTTACTAAATAACCCTGCTCACACCCAAAAAGACGTCAGGGCCCAAGTACCATTCGTCTCCATTCACTCCCATTAACACCTCACGCACGCTTTTGGGAAATCCAAGCCCCTTCCCCAAAACCTTCTTTACCCCCCCTCTCCCAACCCTTTCGAGGACGACCCCTACCTCGCCTTCCTTCCCCATAGATTTTATATCTTTTCCCTGTCTTCACTTTGGGTCCATTCTCTCTAAATGACCAAACCACCCTCAAAAACCCCTTTCTGCCCTCTGCTAATATTTTTTTAACTCCACACCTTTTCCTAATTTCCACACTCCAAATTTTCTGGGTTATTTACACCACACATTTCCCCTTTAAAAGGACATCTCCACTGCCTCCAAACCCTCTCCTCCGCTGAATTTACCACCCCAGCTTCACACCCATATAAAAAGTGTTGGGACTACATATTTCAACTTCCCTTCTTTGCCTCCCTAGATAAAGTTTTTGACTCCACATATACCCAATGCACCATCACCTTTTTTTCCCCCATCATTTTTTAGATTAACCTCATCCTTTAAATCCATCCGCCGCACGTCAACTCCCAAATACGAAAACCACTTCTTCCATACCCCCCCTCCCCAATTTATACCAAATTTTTTTTTACTAAATCATTTGATACCTTATCCCTTACTCTTTTTTTATTTTCACTTTTTAACTTTTTTACCTTTACACACTTCCCAAACCACCATAACCTTTTCAATTTTTCTTTAGAAACTCCCCCCAAGACAGACTCACAAAAATTTAAATGTGTTAATTCCCCTTTTGAATTTGTTCCCCCTATTTATTCCCCCACCCCCCCGACACCATGCATTTACCCTTTTACAACCCCATCTAAAATATTAAACAACCCTGGTACATTAACCTCCCGTTTAAGGACCTACTTTTTACCGGGGTTTCTCCCCTTTTACACACCCTAAACCGAGCCTCACATTTTTTCCATTTGGGCTTATACCTATTAAATGAAATTGGGGACATTTTCCCCTATCCATTTAATGTTTTTTTTTAAACCTAAATGAATAAAAATTTACCCTTTTTAAAAATGTTTAATAAGTTTTTAAGTAAAACTTGAAAAATTCCCACCCCCCAAACCCGTCATGCGCTAATTTTTCTTTCCTCCTAATTCTTTCAATTTTCCCTAAAACCTAAATTTTCCTGGTATACTCAAAAACATATGAGGATTTAAATTTAAATTTTGGTTTTAATAAGAAGCAACAGCTTTCACAGTTTAATGTCCATAAAAAGAAACTTCCCTAGTCAGAGTGTGTGTTGAAAAAAATAAAAAATTAGTTATTTTGACAGTTGAATGAAAAAACAAAACATACAAAAAACACCTGGCCACTATTTACAATTACAAATAAATAAGAAAAAAGTTAATAATAATACAAATAAATATATAATAATTTTTTTTTTAACTATTGGCCATTTCCCACCTAGGCAGGGTGACCCAAAAAAAATAAAAACCTAAAAAGATATACATAATTGTTATGTGATATAAATGGATTCTTGTGTTAATTACAAAAATACATACAAAGTTATACATAAAAGAGGGGAATCTAAAAAATTAAAATTTTATGTTGTTTCCATTATCTTGATTTTTTTTTTTTAAAAAAAATACCAAAAAAAAAAAAAATTTTCCCAAAAAGGAAAATTTGTAATTACCTTTCTTTTTAAAACAATCCCGCTGCCTAGGTGTGGGGAAAAAACCACAGGGGGCAGAAAAACATGTTAAAAAAACTTTCCCTTTTTCCCCTAAAACCACCTTTTTAAAAGGAAAAACAAAAATTTACTTTGGCAAATCAAGGGTAGTAAAGGTTTTTGAACCCACTAATATTTCCCCTCCTCCCAGAGCAGCCAGAACTCTTGGGGGAAATAAAATTTTAAAGAACTAAAAAAAAAAAAATTTTCCTGTACAGTATGTTTTAAAATTTTCGCCTCGGGTTCCCTAATCGGGGGATTTCAAATTATACCCAAACTTTTCAAAAGGGGGATCTTCCCAAAATGGGCCCACCCATTTGTTTTAAAGGGGAAAAAACAAATTTTTTATTTTTAAAATTTTATTTTGGGGCCCCCCCCTTCTGAAAAAGCCCCTCTGGCCCAATTTTTAAAAAAAAAAAAAAAAAATTTTTCTTTAAAAGTAGGTCTTTCCCCTGGTTGCCCAAAATTCAAATTTGGCAAAACTCAAAAAATTTGGCCCCCCGGAATTTAGGGGTTCGGGGACATATTTGGGGGCCCATTTCCCATTTTACCCAAAATTTTTTAACCTTATTTTTTCCCGTTTGAAATCAATGCTATTTTTTAAAAAAAAAATTTTCTAAAGGGTACAAAAAATCCCATTTTAATTTTACACCCAAAAAGGGGGTTTAAATTTTGGCAATTTGGAATTTTTCACCAAATAAAAAAGTGCCAATTTCAAAAAAAAAGGGTTTAGAAATACAAGGGAGTTCGTGGACAAAATAACATTCTTGTCATTAATCACATTTCCAAACCCCCAATTTTTTATTGCTTTCCCTATTTTTGATTTTTTATTCATACAAAAAAAAAACAAAAATTAAAAGTTTGAATAAAAAGTAAAAATTTTTAAAATAAATATGGCCCGTAAAGAATTTAGCCCCATTAAAATTATTGCTTTTGATTTTTTACCCCCAAAAAAAAAATCAGAAACATTGGCTCGTAAGACGTATTTATACGTCGAAAACAGTCAAAGGGTTAATAATAATCACTCTTGGGCACATTAAATGTCTTATTTTGCATTAATATAGACATTTTCATTAATCCATCTATGATATTTTCTTCAAAATTATACAAGAAACATGTTACATAGTATTTAAACATTTTATGTTTATATACTATGGAGGTGTGGTAGCCAGGCAGAGGGAAAAGATTATGTCACCCACCTTAACCCTTTCAGGGTTTCGGACGTACTAGTACGGCTTACGCACCAGGGTTTTTGACGTACTAGTACAGTGGAACCTCAAAAATCCAATGTTTCACATATCGAACATTTTGAAAATAGGACCATTTTTTCGGACAAACTGTGTCCCTATTATCAAACGTGCCCCTATTTTCGGACTGCCGGGTACGGGATATGTCCGCGGGCCCACTCTGTCCGCGTCCCCGCGCAGGCGCTGTGAGCAGTCTAGCTTTGTTTATGCTTGAGTGAACACTAACCTGCGCTCTCTGATAAGCCAAACAGCAATATAACAAGCAAAAGCGACACAGAATCAAGAACAAGGAGATAATATAACAACACTACGTAGGGACCATCTGCAGATCCTCCACAAAAGTCACAAAACTCCCATACTACTGAATCTAAGTTCAGCATTAGAAAATCCCCGACTGTGACAGTGCACAGATACCAGTACAAATTAGGTCAGAAGCTACAGCTCAGGACCTGAGTTTCTCCGAGTGTCCATGCGACACACAACCTCAGTACAACGTCGAAAATCACTAAGTCTAGACTATGTTCTGTGAACAGAGTTACACAGAACCAACAATAAGAAAGTGAAAGAGACAATCTTCCAACAAGGGAGAAGAGTAGAGGGACCTCTTGCTAGAAGCATGTCAAACAGACCATAGCAAGCGCAGCCCAGGCAGACTACTCTAGGTGAGGTGTGATCACCCCCCCTGATCACGTGACTCTCCGTGGATTGCTGCTGCCCAGCAACACAGAGAAGCCGGCAGCGTAACGAGCAGAGAGAAAACACAGTAGTTGACAATGTTGTCAGCTACTTAACGCTCGAACTATGAGCACTGAATAATATATAAATGTTACATCCTACCTAATAATATAACTAAGTCAAATAATAATATAAAGCAATATACAGTGGACCCCCGGTTTACGATCAGCTCCCAATTATGTAAGTTTATTTATGTAAGTGCGTTTGTATGTGTATGCTTGGGGGTCTGAAATGGACTAATCTAATTCACAATATTCCTTATGGGAACAAATTCGGTCAGTACTGGCACCTGAACATACTTCTGGAATGAAATATCGTAAACCGGGGGTCCACTGTATTTACGATTTAGCTATTATCGCAAATATATATAAGCAATATAAAATTATATGAACAGTAATATACATTGTGACCCATTCAGGGGTTGCAATACCCTATCACTCAAAACCTCTTTCACTCCTCCCTCTCACTCTTTATATTTAGAATCTTTGATTTACCACCTGATAAAAACAAGAAATGTACATTGAAGAATGTGGCTAGACTTTAAATACAATATCAAATTTACTTGATAGAAAAACAAACATACTGAGGCTCATAAATTAAAGAAAAGATTTCTGAGATAAAAAGCAAGTACTGACCCAGCTATCTCCCATAATAACAGTGATAACTTGGTTACTTCCTTGAGGATCATGTTTGTACACTGAAGGTCTTGCAGAGTGAAGAGCAGCTCACTGTCTAGAATGATGCCAATCTGAAATAATAGTTTTATAATAAAAATTAAGTTTAAGCAATTAATTTTACAAGCTAGTCAATCAAGCATGGAAGCAACTACGATAAATGATAATCATAATCACACTACCGAGGTAGGTGACCTGAAAGAGAAGAAACACCATCACTGCCAATCACTATTGTTGTCTTGCCAGTAGTGCAATGACATTAGAGCTCAGATGCCCCTCCAAACTGCAATATCCCCACCCCTCCTCCAGAATGCAAGCACTGTAGTTCCCACCTCCAGGACTCGAGTCCAGCTAACTGGTTTTCCCTGAATCCCTTCGTAAGTGTTACCTCACAGATACTCCACTAGCACGTCAAATCATAAAAACTGCTTGTTTTTACTCAATATTAATATGCTCACACATGCCTGTTTGATGTTCAGGCCCCTTACATACAAAACCTCCTCCCTCTCACTTATCCTAGGATGACCCCTACCCCACCTTTCAGTCTTCCTAGCTGTATAGTCCTTGTGGCTTAGCGCTTCTTTTTGATTATAATAATAATAATAATTCAGTCTTCCTATTTTGCTCCATTCTCTCTGAATGTCCAAACCACTTCAGTAACCCCTACTCAGCCCTCTGAATGATACCTTTAGTAACCCTGAACCTCCTCCTAATTCCTAAACTACAAATTCTCTGCATGATATTCACACCACACACTGCCCTCAGGATGACATCACCACTGCCTCCAGCCTCCTCCTCACTGCAGCATTTAAAACTCATGCTTCACACACACACAAATGTTGGTACCACTATACTCTGATACATTCCCCTTTCTGCCTCTATGGTTAACTTTTTTTTGTCTCCACAGATGCCTCAATAAACCACCCTTCCTTTCTTCTCTTAATTCTATGGTTCACCTCATCTTAAACAGACCTGTCTGCCAACAAGTCCAATACCAAATATCTGAACATATTCACTTCTTCCATGTTCCCTCCCTCCAATCTTTTATTACCTAAATTGTTTGTTACTCTCAGTACCTTGTATCACTGCTACCTACGTCATTATATATACAGTGGACCCCCGCATAACGATCACCTCCCAATGCGACCATTATGTAAGTGCGTTTGTACGTGTATGTTTGGGGGTCTGAAATGGACTAATTTACTTCACAATATTCCTTATGGGAACAAATTCAGTCAGTACTGGCACCTGAACATACTTCTGGAATGAAAAAATATCGTTAACCGGGGTCCACTGTATAGCCATCTTTTTAACGTGCAAGATATGATACGAGACAATCATGCTCCACTACTGCTTCCCATAACACACTGTGGGTCAAGATTATGTGTAGGTGTTATAGTCATGCCAGACCAGAGTTATTTAAAGGTCTAAGATGATGCATGTTGGGAAACTTGAGTATGCCATAACTTCTGCACACATACATACAAGCTGATCAGCAAGATGTATGTATGTGCCAGGCCTAGTGTGGCATGCAAAGAGTACGTAACCTTTACTCGGAGTATGTACACACCCTCATTTACAGGCTATCTCCCCCAACCAGCGAACCAGGGGCTAAGGGTTGACGATGGGGCCCCATCGTTCAAACAGTACAAAGGTTCCAGCCAATGAGATGGTTTTGGCAATCGCAGAGGTGATGTGGGTACCACTCACCCGTCTGCCCTTGTCATTCCCATTCTAGAGCTGGTTGAAGCATGGTCTGGTCTCTAGTGGCTTCTATTCTGCCTTGCTTACCGTGGAGTGCACTTATATACTTATTGTTGTACATAGTGTATATAGTATACATACTTCTGTTCTAAATTGGTGAAGGATAATATAAGTCAAAAGTTTTTCTGCTGTTTTATTTTGCTCCCTTTACACCAGGATAACGGGCCCTTTTGGGGACTCCTGGGTTGTAATACCTAGTTATGAACTTCAAAAAACTTATGAGCTACATATTTTTCACAGAAGAGTAGGTAAACCAGATGCTTATAGAGAACACATACCACTAAAGTGTTTCTTAACTTTTAGCCTTTTTTAACTTTTGAAAAATTTTTTAAAAGTGGCACATAATATCAAATAAAAATTAACAAAGAGCACTCACCCGTCTCAATTCAGCAATACAGGAATAGTAGATTTGATAAATAGCAGCTTGAGAGGGAAGCCCTACATACTGCTTTATGTCTGCACGGTCCACAAAAGCCAAGTAAAAGGGGTACCAGAAATATTGGATGTCGTAACAATGAGGACATTTGGGTACCTAGGATATAAGGAAAAATTATCAGATAAATCTTAAACTCCAAAGGGTAAAGGTTATATTTTCTAAAAGATGACAGAAAAGTTGGTTTTGTACAGAAAAAATAAAGTAAATAAAAATGAAAACTTAAAAAAATATTAACAAACAAAATTCAATAAATAAAATTGTTGTAGATACAGAGATAATTTTGTCATGATACTAACAATTAGAGATGGGACAATATAATTTTTTTTTTTTTGCCAGTATTAACATCAATGCTTGCTTTTCATGCTGATTTAATACTTATCAAAATTATGACGATACCACAGAGGTCCAAAAATATCAAGGTTTTACTGTATTTGAATTTTGAAGGAAGAATTTTATAGGGTAGCCTTGCATACCTTGCTCTGGATGATACACAATAATGGGAAGAAATACAGTGGTACCTTGACTTATGATTGCCCCAACTTAGGAGTTTTCTGGAGTTAGGAGCCATTGCTCGGTCCAATTTTTTGTTTTGAGTGCGAGCCAAATTCGAGTTATGAGCAGTTATTATTGCAAAAAAAAAAAAAAAAAAAAAAATTACTGAAATGACATTCGGCAAGAACCCTGGCCTAAATGGCAAAATGAAAGGTGGTTTTGGGACTTGGTACTTTATAAAACAAGCTAGTGCAATGTTCTCATTGGAGGTAATCATGTAATTACATGTATCTTTAGTTATATGTTACTACCAAAATATAAAGTTTGCTAAATTTTTGACATTTTGCCAAAATATCTTGCCCTTTACTCCCACACAAATCCCAAAAATATTTGGAACATTTCCAATATTCACATGAACAATATTTTTTTATGATTCCTGTCAATATTATGGCATTTACCTCAATAATAAAGGGTGGCTTCATGAAATAAGTCAATTTTTTTCTGAAAAATTGCTTGTGTTTTCCAGTGTTTTCCTTATGAACTAGTGATCTAGTGCAGTTAGCCTCACAAAAATTCCATTTTCTCTTACCCAGATCAAAGAACATGTTATAGGAAAGAGCAATAATGATTTTATATGCTCAGACTGGTCCTGGACACTTGCCATATTATGGCTATTTTATTCTTCTAGTGTATTCTCATTGTTTCTATGTTATTTTACGGGGACCTCAAATACTCCCCCCCCCCCCCCCCCCCCCCCCCCCCCCCCCCCCCCCCCCCCCCCCCCCCCCCCCCCCACGAACTTCTTCGGCCCAGAAGCTGTGCGAGTGCCTTTTACCGAATGGAATTTATTCCCACTTAACCCCCCCCCTCTCAGGAATATGTAAATTGATTAGTCCATTTCAGACCTCAAAAATACACTTATAAAAGCACTTACAAAAATACACTTACATAATTGGTTGTGTTGCAGCATTTCGATTTTTGAGGTTCCCACTGTAGTGTTTATTATTATATTGGATCAATTCTGAATAGATAATATACCATAGAGTTGATATTAGCGATATATTGGAAGTATTTCTCCAAAAAAAAATTGGGGTGGTTTTTTGGGGGTGGAATGGATTAATGGCATTTCAATTACTTTCAACGAAGAAAAAATTATTTGATAAATGAGCAAACTGAATTACGAGCTTGGTCACGGAAAAATTAAAACTCGTAAGTCAAGGTACCACTGGGTTCGTGCAGGGCATTTCCGGGGATTAACGCCCGCGGCCCGGCCAAACCAGGCCTCCGAGGGATCAGGGCCTGATCAACGAGGCTGTTACTGCTGGCCTCACACAATCCAACGTAAGAACCACAGCCCGGCTTGATCCGGCACCGTCTTTAGGATCTGTCCAGCTCCCTTTGGTAGACAACCAGGGCGGTCCTCCCGTAATGGTATATACCCCCCCCCCACCCCCCCCAACATTGCTGGTTGGAGTATGCGCTGTTCTGAACCGCCTCTAGGGCCCAGTCACTTATAGTGTTTCTGTTCTAAGCTGTACCTCAGTGACGGCCCCTACTTTTCACAGGCGGGTATGTTTCCATCGCCTGCCAAGTCTTTGTGCCTTTTTGTATGGTGTGATTGCTAGTGTGCATATTAGGACCTCAGTCCTCCAGAATCTTCCCGGTGTAGATATGATATTATCTCTCTCGTCTGCGCTTTAGTGAGTACAAGTCAAGTGCTTCCAGGCACTCCCAGTAGTTAAGGTGTTTGATGGAACTTATACGTGCAGTAAAGGTTTCTCTGTTACATTCCTCTAGCTCTGCCATTTCACCCCTTGAATGAGGATGTATTGTACAGCAGTATTCCAGCTAGAAAGAATAAGTGTAAAATTTAAAAAGATCATCATTGGCTTCGCATCTCTTGTCTTGAATGTTCTCATTATCCATCCTAATCAGTATCATATCAGATGTGATTAGATGGCATTGTTGTGGTCCTTGAAGGTGAGGTCTTCAGACATTACACACCAGGGCTTTCACATTACTTTTCCACTCTATTGTGTGATTGGAAGTTTTTGTAGTATACTCAGTTCTAGTTTTTTTTTACCTCCAGTTTTCAATAACGGAGTAGTTGGAAATTTGTCTTTAGTTGAACATCATACTGTTCTCTGTTGCCATGGAAAAACTTGGTTTATATCTTCTTGGAGCTTTGCCGTTGTCCTTCAATGGATGACACTCGCATGCAGATCCTAGTATCGTCTGCAAAGATTGATAGATGCTGTGGTTTACATCTCTGTCTATGTCTGATATGAGAATAAGAAACAAGGATAGGTGTGAGTACTGTGCAGTGTAGGACAGAGCTCTTCACTATGGCAGCATCTGACTTCAACTCTGTTTTACCATACTCTTTGTGTGCGATTGGTTAGAAAGTTGAAGATCCATCTGCCTACTTTGCCCGGTTATCCCTTTAGCACGCATTTTAGTGTGCTATTTACCACTGTATTAGAAAATAATTATTGAGGATGATTAAGAAGAAAATCAATTATATTGATAACAATGATGATTAACAGGTAATTAGGAATACACGAGGGCCCTGCTTATACAGCAGGTTAGATTCACAGCTTCTGTTTTAAACTGGAAAATCATGTAAAGTGAATTCATAGCCATTTTTCACTTTCAGATGCATATTAAAAGCCTGATAAACATGTTTAAAACTATATATATTAAAACCCCTTTGACTGTCGCGGCGTTATGTACGTTATATGGAGGGTACCGTGTTTGACGTATATATACTCATAAATTCTAGCGGTTTCAAATCAAGCAGGAGAAAAGCTGGTAGGCCCACATTTGAGAGAATGGGTCTGTGTGTCAGTGTGCACCCATATAAAAAAAAATCCTGGAGCACGCAGTGATACATCTATCCCAAAAAAACTTCCGACCGATTTTTTTAATTAAAATGCCGACTTTGTGGTCTAATTTTCGTATAGTATTTATGGTTTTGTATTCTCGTTTTCTGGTCTCATTTGATAGAATGGAAAACATATTATAGAAATAGAGGTGATTTTGATTGATTTTTACTATTTATTTATTTTTTTTTTATTTATTTCCAATTTGTGCACACATACAGAGGTACCAAAAAAAATACAGTAAGAGCAGTATGCAAAGCCACTTATACTATGCATAGCATTACGGGCTGGCTTAAAATTAACTTTAAGATTAACTAAGCAATGATTATTATTATTATTATAATCAAAAGAAGCGCTAAGCCACAAGGACTATACCAGCGCTGCTACTAAGCAATGATGAAAATCAGTGATTAAAACATTATGTAAACAGATAACTATAAAGCACAAGTGAGTATTACAAAGGACAGGTCATATGGTTGCATTCAGTTAGGTAGTGATTCTGTTAGGTGTGTATTTAAAAAATAATAAGTTAAGATTGGGTTTTTAGGTTTAACCATTTATGTGATATAATTAGTGAGAAAACATTTAAGATATACAATTTATAATGTTCAGTTTTCAGTATTTATTTGTATTTTGGGTGAGTAAGTAATCTTTTGAGAGGAGAAGAACTTGAATTTATAAAAAGGTTGAGTTTCTTTTTATATTTAAGGTAAATAATTCAGATTTAGGGCCTTCTTTATGTGCATGAGTTTTTGCATAGTGTGAGATGGCACACGAGGAACACAAAGAGTGTCTGTGCCTTTTGTTGTTATGGTATGTGTTCTGTTGAGTTGGCAAGGAGATGTTGAGAGGGAGGGTTAATATCAGGTTAAGTGTTCGATGTATGTAATAGGTGCAGTAATAAGTATGGATGTTTTGTATGGTGAGTAGGTTTAGTGTATTGAATATTGTGGAGTGTGCTGCCTGTTAGTGAGGAATTTGTTATCATTCTACTCAGCCTTTTGTTGGGTAATTAGTGTCTGAGATGGTTAATTGTTGTTGAGCCCCATGCACAAAATTCCATAGTGAGATAGGGGTAAATAAGAGAGTGATATAGGGCCAGGAGGGCTGACTGTGGAACATAGTACCGTATCTTCGATAGTATTGCCTACTGTTTGGAAATATTTCCTTAGAAATTTGATGTATATGTGTATGAAATTTGAGTCTATTATAAGGTGGATTCCTAAGATTTTCCCTCTGTTAGTTTTGTGATAGGTTGATCCATTTATCATTATGTTAAGAGGGGACATCTGTAGCTTGTTACCAAACTGAATGAAGTAGGTTTTGTCAATGTTTAGTGTAAGTTTGTTAGTCCTCATCCAGGTAGATATTTTCTGGTAATTCGGTATTTAAGTATTGGCTAGCGTGACTGGGGCTCGGGTGAGAGAAGACGTAATGTAGTGTCATCTGCAAATAGTGTGGGGTTTGAGTAATTGCGAAGCATTTGGAAGGTCATTTATGTATAGGAGAAGAGAAGAGGGCCAAGGACACTTCCTGTGGACACCAATGTAATTGGTTGTGCAGAAGGATTTGGCCCCATTAGCGTACACATATTGGCTTCTGTTGCTGAGGTTAGACTTGAAGGTAGCACCCCCACACATGGGGGAGTGCCCTCTTATACCATAGTGTGACAATTTTACGTGGAAGCAAGTCATGGTCAACTGTATCAAAAAGCCTAGAAAT